TATTAAACTATATCTTTGATATTTTGATTATTGTTTAGAAATATTTATGCCTTATCTCTAAAATAAATATTTTCTCTATTTAAAAAAAATAATCTTACTTTTTCTTTAACATGTTTTAAACTTTTTTTTTCTCTATCCTGGGTCCTTATTGAATCATGGGTTCTTTTTCTATGTTGAAAGTCCAACTCCCCTACTGATTTGACTGCGACGAATTCTCGAGAAGAGAGGAGCCGTGGTGATTCCCCTGGATCGCTCGGATTTCACGAGTGAATCGAAAGTTGAATCTATATTGGATCTCATCCGAATCGCTCTCACGTGACATATTTAAGATTACAAAATTAAAATATAATTTGATATATTAACTTTATTTTAAAATTATAAGAATAACTTTCAATTTTTTAAATTTCATTTTGAGCCCTAGTTAATTTTTTTTTAATAGGAGGGAGTAATAAATTGAGGGCATGACAAAATCCAATGTGATGATTACTCAACGTTTCTTTCGTCGGAGTCAGTCATTATCGCCACGTAAAGGTCCACGTTCGCCTTTTGCATACAGATTTCTACCTATCTGACAATTTTAACCTCCCAGTTGAAGTCTAACGGTCACCTTTACCATGTTCTGGTCTAGGATTTTCTCCGAGTTAACCGCTTCTTTTATGACTGAACAAATATAATCACTCTTCCAGTTTTTGATTATCGGAAAGATGAATCAGTTGCTGGTGAGGTTGGTGATGAGGCGGTTAGTTTCTGGTGGTACCCGTAACGGTTGCATATCGTCTTCGTCAGCGGCGGTAATGTTCAGAGAAGTTCATAAGCCGAGTAGTGAGTCAGTTGTGATGATGAGTAGCCAGAGGCTGAGATTCTCTGGTCGGTGGTGGAGGATGATGTGCTCCACTACATCGAAGAATTCAACGAAGTCCTCTGACGTGAGGAAGGAGGACGAGAAATTGAGTGGTGATTCTGTGGAGAAAATGGAAGGGGAAGACGAAGTAGCTCTTTCCAGTTATTGGGGAGTCTCGAGGCCAAAAATTACGAAAGAAGATGGCTCCGTGTGGCCTTGGAACAGCTTCATGGTATGTGAATTATTTTATCAGTATGGGTAAGTGTAGACCTTGTGTTTCAAACATATAGAAGACAATAATTCGGAGGTTCTTCTAGATAGAGCTTTAATTTCCTGGTAGTAAAGCTGGATGACTATTGCTTTCTTTCTGCCTGCTTTTCATGTCTGTTTACTCTGTTTCAATTACCGGTTTATGTCTTGGTGGAATGCATCACTGGTTGGTGAACTGACACACTGACCCTACATAGTCGATGTGGACATCAAACACCCGCGCACACCCAAGACTAGACATTTGGAGTGTGGACAATAGAACTTGGGGCCTAATATCGGTAAACTAAGAGTTGTGACTTGTGTGATTCTTGATACCAGGATAAAAATGGACCTTCAGTCTACCTCAATCCCAAAACCTAGCAGCTAAATTTGTGGGACTTCTGATATTATTTACTCTTTGAGGGTTGGAGTAAGATAATCTTATTTCAATGTTTGGTGACGTTTCAGTAGTAGTAACTAGTAAATCACTGTTGTAGCTGGAGCTGTTTCATTCTTGTCTATTCTGATCTTTAAATGGAGATTATTTAGGGAATCTTGCACATGTTAATTGAAACTTACTTGTGATCTCTCTTCTTTTTTTTTTGTCCCTGGGTACAAGATGTCTGTTTTTTTACTTGCTCAAAAAGAAAAAAGAAGTCTCGTTCTTTTTTTTAATTTATATATATTTTGTTACCGCTTGTAGCCATGGGAGACATATCAGGCTGACCTGTCGATCGATCTAAGCAAGCACCATGTGCCCAAGACATTCCTTGATAAGGTTGCTTATTGGACAGTGAAACTTCTCAGGATTCCAACTGATTTATTTTTTAAGGTTTGCTTTCCACTCACCTTTGCAAGGAATATGTTGTCTTAATCAAATTAAATGGCTAATTTGTACTATTACTTCTTTAGACACCATGCTCTCCTATGTCTTCTTGGTCTCGATGTGGCCATGATGTTCATACTACTCGACAGCTTGTACCAGCAATTTTTTTGGCGAATAGAAATGCTAAGAAATGGATTCCTTTTCTGCTAGTTCTTCGGTTTCTTCATAAATGTAACCAAAGTGGTCAATGTATGTGATGAAATACTGAGCAGGGATGTAAGGGAGGTGTGCCCTTTACATCATCCTTCCCTAGTGGTACATCTTTTAGCGAGAGGAAACACATGCCAAAATCACAACAGTTATTGCTTCATGGACTACCGTACCTAAGAGTAATGGAAATATGTGTAAACAGGAAAACTTCTCTGCCGTGGACACTACAATGTGAATCCTTGAGTTGTTTTTATATCAAATACCTTCTTGTCACCATTGATTCTAATCTCTGATTTCTATCGCAGAAAAAATATGGTTGTCGTGCAATGATGTTGGAAACAGTGGCAGGTGTACCTGGAATGGTTGGAGGTATGCTGTTACATCTGAGGTCATTGCGCAAGTTCGAGCACAGTGGTGGTTGGATAAAAGCATTACTTGAAGAAGCTGAGAATGAGAGAATGCATCTGATGACTATGGTGGAGCTAGTACAACCTAAATGGTACGAGAGGTTGTTAGTTATTGCTGTGCAGGGAGTCTTTTTCAATTTTTACTCTGTGCTTTACTTGCTGTCCCCCAAGCTTGCACACAGAGTTGTTGGTTATCTGGAAGAGGAGGCTATACACTCTTATACATTGTATCTTAATGATATTGATCGTGGTGAAATTGAAAATGTTCCTGCTCCTGCAATAGCAATTGACTACTGGAGACTGCCTAAGGATGCAACTCTAAAGGATGTTATTACTGTCATCCGTGCTGATGAAGCTCATCATAGAGATGTTAACCATTTCGCATCTGTAAGTGTTCATCTTCTGTTTTCTCAGATCAATCTTAAACATCATTGCGAATTTCCACATTTTGAGCTGGCAATTTTTTCTAAAGGTTTGCTTGTGCAGAAGTTATTGATGCAACTGATTTAGTTATTGCTCATGTTATTCAGGATATCCATTATCAAGGAAAGAAATTGCAGGAGGCAGCTGCTCCTATTGGTTACCATTAAATCTTCATATTATTCTGCTTTGCATAGCTTCTTTTTTTTTTTGTGTGTGTATATATATGTGTGTGTGTGTGTGTGTTATGGACCATGGCCCAATCAAAATAAGGAGAGTCTCAGTGGGGCATTTCTAATAGTCATGAAATCCTCAAATAGTAGCAAAAGTATGGATTGAACTACTGCTCTATCCTCTGGATAGTTGTATATATGATAAACATGTGCTTTGCTCTTCAAATTTTGTATCTTAACAGGAACACAAATGATTCCTCCAAAAATTTTGTGAAATGGATTTATTTTATGACACGCATGCCGGGAAACCTATATCTTCAAGAAATTCACATAGAAATGCCAGGTTGTTCATAATTCTAAGAATGGCACACAAGTTCTTCTAAAGCAGAAAGGCCATGAAATCACTCAGGTAACTTGCCTGTATGAGATATATGTTCCAGTGTGCATCTTAAACCATAACGTTCAACTGCCCATTTTGCTTCTCTAAATCCATGACCATATGCCTCAGAATGGCTTTTTTCAATTCCATCTTTCAGAAACTCTTTCAGATTTCTCAAGAACTGAGCTTTTTCACTTGTACCTTTTATGTTTTCATCACCAGTAAAAGATTGCCATTCTAGCCACTTGTGAGCCATAACTTCACAAATACCTTCTGCGATGTTTAGGGACAGCCCCTCATACCCTATATATCATTGAGAAAAAGACAGGTTTATTTGGAATGCTATTCACTTGTTTATTTTCCATTATATTTAGTTTAAATTTAAATTAGACAAAACCAACTACAGATTATTGTAGAAAGGTGGAAAGCACCTTCAATTTTCATCCAAGCGTGCATCATTTCATGAGCCAAAGTTGCTCCCAAGTCCAACCTGTTTACAAAGACCAGTTGTGCATACCATAAAATTTAAGTGGGGAACTTGTTTCAACCTAACATATCCCCTCTTAAAGACTGGAAGAAAATTATCTTTGAAAAATATAGATATCATCAATCCCAATTTAGGACATAGTGGGATGAGTAGCATGAAAAAAACCTACTACTTAAGGCAAGAACAGTAACTGTAAATGGTTGTTAAAAGTGCAGGTTTTCTGATGGATTCTTTGAATCCCAAAATATGTTGTGTTTAATGCAAAATGAGAGACACATCTACTCTTCTAAATCAGTTGCACTTCTTCAGCTGGTCATACTATCTATTCTAGGATATGTTCATCAGAAGTGGCATCTTGTGATTGTTTATTACATGAAATATGAAAATGCAGATTCTTTTTATACTTGTAGTATATAGTTTGTAGATAAACCTTTTTGGTATCATACCTCATTGTATATAACAAGGCTCAAGACTTATTCAAAACTGAAATTGCTTATTTGCTGATCCTAACTTGATGAAGATCATGAGATATATTTCCTATTTACTCTCCTAGAAATTACTGGATGACAATTTCTTGGACTTATATACTAGATCCATCAAGAAGACTACTTATGTGAAAGTATTGAAGTTCATAAGAAGATTACTTTGGTAAGCCGTACAAAAGCAGCATTGCTTTCACTTTGCGTCCTTCAACCAGATGCTCTACTTCTTTCACCACTTTAATTTTTTCACCCTTTTGTATTGACCTTGACACCTAGCATGAGTGAATCGAATGCAACATGAGAGACTAGATGACTTCATACCATAGGAAAGAGAAATCTATAATAGAAACCACTGTACTCACATAAGTTACGGCTTCCAATTCAGATTTATCATAGACAGTCAAGCCAAGTGATGTCTGTGAAACCAACCAAACACTATTACTACTACAAAATGTGATGGAAGTAATAAAATCCACTTGCTAATGTAATCGCCTGTTCTGCCTACCTTTTCAACATTTTTTATCATCTCTTTTTCATCAACTAACAGAATTGGAATGTAATATCGGATTTTCATGTTCATTCCTTTGAAAAATCTGTGCACTTCATCAAGAAGGGGCTTACAGTCTCCAGGATCTGTCACTGCTGTATAATGACAATCAGGGCAAAGTTTCCGACCATCATTCAGAATGATATACTTCAGGTCTCCTATCTACAAATAGGTGAGTAAGTTCTCAGTTAGCATTTTATAAGCTGAGTAATTGTATGCCATCTGTTATCATTGAAAGTAAAGCTGGTGTCTCAGCTAGAAAGCTTATTGTCTATATGTTTGCTATTCATTCATCATACAATTGCTAGTGGTTAAGAAGATTCCCTTGCATTTTCATTTTTTTATAATTCTCATACTAATTGAATGGTTCCTGTTTAGCTCATTATCAACCTTTATTTGTTAGAGCATAGATTCAATCGGGTTTAAAAACCTTTAATCTTGAACAGCTGCAGCATTGAGGAGTTCCATCAGATGTATGCTTTTCACAGTAAGTTTGGCCCCAGTATGTACACCTTGACCAATCCGAGCAAATCTGTACCAAACATAACATAAGTATCAGGTAAACTCATTCCGTTATTTTCTGATCATTCACAGTTACAAGGATAAATTATTCCAAGAAAGACTAAAGGGAAGGATATTTGAGGAAAGGGAACACAAACCTCCTCTTCACAAACATCACAAACAAGAATATTGCACCGCTTTCTACTCTTTCTCCAGAAAGAAGTGCTCCTACAAAATCATAAAAATGTGTCTGAAGAAATATATGTATTCATAAACTGAATATATCTTTGATGCTCTCCACAGTTCTTCACAATTTCCCACAAATCACAATTGAAAAATAGCTAGCAACACTTCTGTTATATTAGTATGAAACCTGCTTTAACTTAAAGCAGGACCATAGATCCTAACTCGACATGAATTAAGTAAACTTACAAATACCAAATCCTAATCAATTTTCCTTCCTGAATTAGTTTCTGATGGTGTCAATATGATCAAATGGAAAGCAGAAAAAAGTCATGGCAAAAGGTACCGCAGAATAGTAAGAATTTAGTTCTTGGAAGAATTATCAAGAGAGTAAACAGAAGCATGACTTAGATTTTGTTTGCTTTGCATGTATAGCTACAGATAATTTATTCATTGCTGATCTAGAAGCACTTGAATTGTGTTACTCTTACCTTGATGCATGGACAAATGGATTTAACTCCTTGAAAAGCTTCCACCATTTCAGTTCTCTGCCTCCAGTACTGGTGCTGTAATGATGTTAATAAATCTGATCTTAAACTTAATCAGCTTGCGACAAAAAGGGAGATGAATAGGACAATTACATTACATATGTGTGAATTGTAATATGCTAGATGAAAATATTCATTTCCATTTATATATTTTTTACTGAGTAAATCCCTGGGAGTTGGTGGTGAACAATTCGAAAATCTGTGGATAATGGTTTTCATTTACCCCTATAAGCACCAGGGAATGAGAGGGCATATTTACCTCAAGTCTGTAGAAGATAATGAGGTTTCTTCCAGCGCTTGTGCAAGTTCTTCTACTTCATCATTCTGGGAATACTCTGTATCTGAGATTTAAAAAAGTGACCAAATGTATACATCAAACTACTTGCCTGAAGATGGTAAGAAACTTCTGTTAAGCATTTATTTCTTCCAAAATATCAAAGTGAAGCTTAAATTGAAACTTATTTGAGCTAAACATATCTGCCAACTTCTTACTAGGACGAAATTTAGCTTAAAATAGTGAGATGAAAAGGCTGCATCAGAAAAATGAAAATACTACCGCCTGTGTATATTTCTTCTGCCTTAGATTCTTGAAGAGAGAATTCAATAGCACGGACCATATCCTCATTTTCATCTTCTGATAAGTGGTAACTCTGTAATCAAATTTTTTTTCAAATGGATTTAACTTATAATAATAAATAATAATGATAATAACGAAAGAGATTGATAGAAGTGTGAAACAAATAACCATACCTCATAAGAAGGACCTTCATCCAGGTATCTATTTGAATACATTTTCGAGGTCAATTAATTCTCTGAGTTCAAACAAATATATCAATACTACTCCAAAGCATGAAAATGAATTAATATTAATAAGAAATATCCATTGGTGGGGGAGAAAGATGTCAAGTTTATAGAACTTTTAAAACATGAGTTTCCTGGAAATATATAATATTTTAAAAATGGAGTATTCGGTTGGTTGTACTGACCAGAAAAAAGAAAACAAATATTCTAGTGGTTGCATACAAAGAAGTTGCAACTCAACTGATCAAGTGGCAGTTTCGTGCCCTGTTTCTTGTCCTTAGAAATAGTATAATATACACAATTAATTAATATTTTTTGAAGACTTTGACAATGTCGTTAAGTCTTCATGAAAGTTTTTTTGTTTTTTTCGATATGCTTTTACGAGATTAGTTAAGAAAGTGCTATTATATTCCTCATCATCAATATAGAAAAGATCACACATTTTAAGACTTCTTCATTGTATTGGGCTGCATCCTGCATGGACATGACTTTTTTTTTCGTTTTTTTTCTCAAGAAATATTTTCAAAATGTTGTTCGATTTTTGTTATAGCAATTTTTTGATTGGTTTTTGCAGATGGGTTCTTTTAATTTGAAAAAACGATTTTATCAAGTAAAATTTTGTCCCACTCATAAAATATCTATCTTTTTTTCCCAAGTGATATACAAGCACAAACACAACTTCAAACTTTCAAATATTATTCAATTCATGTCTACTTATTAAAATCTTAATGAAAAAGCATAGAAACAATGACATAAAGTATTTAGCTTCAAAATTATTAGGACTAGTGGCAGACCAATGCTATGTATATTATCGGTGCTTTGCCTTTTGTGACCAACATTATTATTTATGTACAAAATTTAGTAATTTATTAAAATGTATTATCTGACCACCTATACTATATAGCAATTTCCGAGCTAAAAAAGTTTAAGCACCCATATACAAAAATTTTGAATGAACCACTGACCGGGACTATAGTTATTTGTGCACGTAAAACTAGCTAGTACATTCTTCTTCTTTCTTTTTTACCGTTTGTAACATTGTACCAATGCTTGTTTAGTTTATATAATTCTTATTCATTAGTTTTTGTTATCCATTTACCATCAAATTTGTTCTCTCTTGAAATAACTTAATATAAAATCTGTATTAATAGAACTCGACGAATAATCGAAATTTTCGTTGAATAGCTTGTAGAGCCAAAAAGTCAATGTGATGTTGAAGAATCAAATGGAGAAATTGTGAAGGAATTTCCAGAAAGTAAAGGTCCCGTTAGTAGAAAAATGTGACTGAGAAAAACTACAGCCAACAAATGGGAAAAAAAGTCTCGACTATTGGGTTGGCTGACCAATTAATAAAATGATAATGACGACATAAGGACTAATGGAAAGAAAAAAAGAGTCCCCCTCACTAATAAATATAATGATAATAATGACAACTTACCAGAAAAAATAAGCAAAGTTTATCTTTTTGTGTTTAGTGAGTAATTATAAAACACTCTTTATGTAAAAATATATATTAAAAATTGGTAATAATGTTAGCAAATCAAAGATTGTTCGGATTATTATTTTTTAAGTGAAGATTAAAATCCAAATAGTGATATTAAAAGTCAAGAAATTTGTAAGAAAAATGAGTCACTATCCCTATGTACTTTTTGTGTTACCCATGTAATTTCAGGGCCTCAATTTGGAGTCATAAAAGTAAATTACAAAAAATTACATGTTTTTCACAGAAATGTTTGTCCATGAACCATCAGTTTCATCCAAATGATGAACGAATTAACACAAAAATTAATAATGTCACATGAAGAAGTGAGTCATTTAGGAAAATCTTAGTAGCTTAGTTGGTTGACTATCTGAACTCTCTCACTTTGTTTTGTTGATGAGGGTTCAATTGCCCACATTTTGATTCTCTCCCAAGCAAGTCATTCAGGTAACTTGCCTTGTGTATCTTAAACCATTATGTTCAACTGGCCATTTGAGTGTGTGTCTAAAACCATAACGTTCAACTGCCCATTTTGCTGAACTAAGTCATTCAGGTAACTTGCCCTTACGAGCTATATGCTTTAGTGTGTATCTTAAACCATAACGTTCAACTGCCCATTTTGCTTCTCTAAATCCATGACCATATGCCTCAGAATATCTTCTCTCTATTCCATCTTTCATAAATTCTTTCAAATTTCTCAAGAACTGAGCTTTTTCACTTGTACCCTTCATGTAGTCATGGCCGGTGAAAGATTGCCATTCTAGCCACTTGTGAGCCATAACCTGAGAAAGACCTTCTGCAATGTTTAGGGACAGTCCTCTATAGCCTATAAATATGAGAGGAAATGTTTTAGTCGCATTAGAGTGATATACACGGAACTCTAGATTATTATTTTTACTTATTTATTGTTATCGGTCAACTTAATCTGATGGTGTTTAAAATCTGTATACATTGTAAATGAAGTGTATAAAGTTCAAATTCCTTTTACTTTGAACAAAGAAAAAAGCAACAAGCATCAATAGTAAAAAACCGGAAACTACCTTGAACGCGCATCCAAGCATGCATCAGTTCATGAGCCAAAGTTGATCCAATGGCCAACCTGTTTCCAGAGAGCATTAGTGCATACATAAACTTTAAGAAGGGAACTTGTTACACATTCTTCTAAAACTGAAATGCAAATTAAAGAGAATTCTTAACTTCCATCCAAGTCAAGAAAATCAGACCACTTATGGTAGAATATGGACAGCAACATCTGCAACCCCCACTCATCACCATTCAATATTTCCTTAATGTCTCAATTTAGGTGACTCATGGGAAAAGTAAGTAAGTAACCAATCCGTGGGAAAAAAAGAAGCTGAAAACGGTGGTTAGTTATGCAGATTTTTCTCTGTGAATCAGGAAATATTCAGTCTTCAATGCTAAATGAGTAAGATTTCTACTATTCTAGATCATTTTATCTTCGCCATATGGTGATAGTATAACTAGATGAAAAGCATGAGATTTATTTTCCAATCTATTCTCTTAAAAATTAGTAAATGAAAATTATTTAGAGATCTATGCTAAATCCATCAGAAGAACAACTTATGTGAAAGTATAGAAGCTTAGAAGAAGCTTACTTTGGAAAGCCGTATAAAAGCAGCACTGCTCTCACTTTGCGTCCTGGAGGTAGTTGTTCTACTTCTTTCACCACTTCAACATTTTCACCCCTTTGTATTGATTTTGAAACCTAGCGTAAGTGAATTTAATGCAAAATGAGAGAGTAGACAATTATGTAAAGAGGCGGATGCAATATTTAATGATCTGAACTCATTAAGCTTAAATTTTTTATCCAACAAACTGGGAACCATAAAAATGTTTAAATTTACATTATATTGCAGAAGATAGTAACCCATATAACAGAAATATAATATTAACAGATATACTCACGTAATTTACGGCTTCCAGTTCAAATTTCTCATAAATCGTCGAGCCAAGTATGCTCTATGAATTCAACGAAATGCTGTTAATACAACAAATATGAAGGTTAAAATAAAAATTCACCTTGCTAATGTTGGCATATGTTCGACAAACCTTTTTATGGATTCTTATTATCTCTTCTTGGTCAACAAGCAGAATTGGAATGTAATATCTGATTTTCATGTTTAATCCTTTGAAAAATCTGTGAACTTCATCAAGAAGGGGCTTACAGTCTTCAGGATCCATCACTGCTGTATAATGACAATCAGGGCAAAGTTGTCGACCATCACTCAGAGTGATATACCTGATGTCTCCTATCTGCAAGCAGGTGAGTAAGTTCTCAGTTCGTGTTAGTTGAGCAACTGTAAGAAATTCAAAGGATTAACTTGGCATCTGTTATTGAGAGGTCAGTATTCAGCCCAGTTATTGAAACGTGCTAGGGGATACTGAACTAATTACTAAATATCATCTCATTTCCTGTCCGTTGATCCTTTACTTCATTTTATTACCGACCAGGGATTCAATCAGGAACATCTTCAACCGAATAATATATATACGTATTTATATAAGGTGTTTAATAACCTTAAATCTAGAACAGGCACAGCAGCAGGGAGTTCCATCTGATATATGCTTTTTACGGACAGTCTGGCCCCAGTAGGTACACCTTAACCACTCCGAGCTAATCTGTACCAAGATTTATGATGTTAAAAGGCAATAATCAAACATAATAGAAGCATTAGTTAACTCATTCAGGTATTTTGTAATAATCTTCATAGTTTACAAGGATAAACTAAGGACTGATTACAAAGTGCAAAAGGGTAGAGATTTGAGAAAAAAGGAACACATACTTGTTCCTCACAAACATCACAAAGAAGAGTATTGCACCGCTTGCTACTCTTTCTCCACCAAGAAGTGCCCCTGCAAAATCACAAAAAGCATACCAATGCCAATTAGAATAAATGGAATGCAAGAAGAATGTAGCAAGCTAAAAGATATTTCAGAATGACATAATGGTATTGAAACCTTCTCGGGGATTTAGTTATTAGAAAAATTAGTTTTGATATATAGAGAATTAGCTTTTGTCAACAAGAAGTGTGGGTTTTTCTATGATTAAGACCTAATTATAAATACTCTGTACTAACTTACACTTGAATTGTGTTGCACTTACTTTGATGTATGGACAGATGGATTGAACTCCTTGAATAGTTTCCACCATTTCAGTTCGCTGCCTTCAGTGCTGGTGCTGTAATGATGTAAAGCTTAAGTAAACAGATATCTGATCTTAAACTTAATCAGCTTGCAGACAAAGGAAGGTAAATAAGATATAAGAAATAGAGTAACTATGTACAAAGATAAATTACTATATGAAGCAGTAATTCTAATTTTTAACTCTGTGAAAATAGATGAACTACTGTATGAAACAGTAGTTATTTTTCATTGCACGTGCACATAGAGGGGACATGATCCTCCAGCAATCTAAAGGAAACTAGACAATATACCATGAACTTGATGGAATGTTGCATATTTTCGGCAGGTTGAAGTATCCATTTTGCTAATAATACTGACCTTGAACCGGCGTTCTTTTCAGCAGACAAACACTGGAAAACATCTTCCTTAAACTAGGTCATTTCACGGAAAATATTTCCCAGAAAATGGCTTCCTTCATACCAAAGACAACTTAAAAATATAAATTTGCAGTGACAGATATACATTCTAATCTTGATCACTTCCTTGATTAGACTTAGCAGCTAAGGAGTAGCACAGTGGTTGATGAAGAGTAAAATTCATATAATGGTCTCATTATTTTCTAAATTTTGTAAAAACTATGTCAGATAACTAAGTCTTTGTGAAGCCTAACCTTCTCCAAATATGGAAATATTCATTTCTCATTATAACGATAAGTCTAACTAATATGAAGGTGTAAGGGAGTGAGAGTTATGATACCACTGGCCATATTTACCTCAAATCTGCAGAAGATAATGTGCTTTCTTCCAGCTTTTCTGCAAGTATTTCCACTTCATCGTTCTGATGACACTCCAAATCTGACAGTAAATGACCAAATCTATATATGAGATTACTGGCAAAATAACCCAGTGAAGCTCCAACATCTTGAAAATTATTGGCTAGAGGTGAAAATACTTCTTACTAGGACAACATTGAGCTTAAAAAGGTGAGATGAAAAGGCAACATTACTAATGACCCTTGCTGACTTACTATCTATATATATGTCTTTTCCGTTTGATTCTTGAAGAGAGAGTCCAATAGCACGAACCACGTCCTCATCCTCGTATTCTGAGAATTGATCCTGAATTCAAGTTCTACAAATGGATTAATTGTGTGTTGATGAAATGAATTGGCAAAAACTTTAAAATCTCCGTTTTCTTTACAACTACTCAAGAAAAAGTGACAAATGTTCCCTTTGATATAGAAAATCATGAGAAAATCAATCTCATCATGTACTCATGTGAATGAATAGTTGCTTCTTAAAAGGCTACCGCACAGATTATTAATCAGATCCTGATGTAGCTAAAACCACATGTCCCTCAGCTTATTTGTGTCAGATAATTAACATGTAGGTGAATCAAAAGCAAATTTGATTTGAACTTGGAACTTGAGCTAACCAGTCTAAATTGCAAGATATGTAACACTCACGAATATTAAAGCTTAGTATATATGAACTTACAATCAAAATTTTCTTACTATCCTAATAATTGACATTAAAAAGCAGTTATCAAACACAGTAACAATAAAACCTGGTAAGAAGGACCTTCAAGCAAGAATCCATTTGCAGACATTTTTCAAGATCAAATCCCGAGTTGAAAGGAAAAAAATTATACTGCTGCAAAACATGAACATATATTAATACTAAGAAATGTCCATTGTGGAGAAAATGGAAAATTCAAAGCACTGGATATAGAAGCTGTGATCAGTAACCAGAGCACACGACCCCAAACTTCATACGGCATAGGCTATTGTTTGAATCATAAGGAAGAAACAGAGAATTAAAACATGGTTTACCTAGAAATAATTTATTTAATGAATATTCGGTTGGTGACAATTATCAAAAAACAACAAAAATTTGGGTACACAAAAAAAGTTGCAACTGAACTAATCAAGTGGCAGTTTCGCCCTCTGTTTCTGGTCTTCAGAAACATTATAATATACTAACAATTGATAAATCATTTTCGTTGACTTCTAACTCTGTAATCAAGTCTTCGGAAACTTAACTGATCAGTAAGCAAAACAATTGGAATCCAGCAAATAAACCAAGCTAAGTCCAAGAAAATTAATATCCTGGTCTATGCCGCTGATAACATCAATTAAGTCAGCAAGTGTGGCATCCATATTTCCCTTGCATCAAATTTCTCAATATATTAAACTTTTCTTCTTGAAAAAAAAGGTAAGTATAAAATTTAAATAAAATACCGTCAATTTGAAAAGGACATTTTTTTCCTAATAAAAACAAAATCGGCTTAACAAATATTGATGCAACCATGTTAGAACCATAGCTTTTTAAAGTGATCTTTAAAAAGATTAAAAAAATTGTCTCAAATCAAATAAGTTCGGACAAAAAGTAATACACAACTTGTTAATTTTTATTTTTTTTAAAAAAAGATTAATTTATAATCTTTAAATTTTGATTTCGCTACATTTGAATGATAATCCCTCTATCTCTTTTTACTTGTCAATTTTAACTTGTCTCATCTATTAAAAAAATAATATTTGACATAATAAATTTATCATTTTATCTTTAAAAATTTAAAAATAGATCGAGTCTTAAAACATAGGAAGGAAGGAGTATAACGTAAGACTTAAAGGGTTGTTTGGTGTGAACTTTGAAACATAATATCAAATAGTTTTGGAATTAAATTACAGTACACTTCAGGGGCGTAGCTACATATCTTTTTATCGAAAAATTATACCATATATACAAGTAAAAATATTATATAAAATGATTAAATAATATATTTTGGACACCCTAACATAACAAGATATTGTATTCTAGTTGTTTAAGGTGTCTTGAAAGAGCTAAATTTTTATGTGTTTGTGAGTTCAAATCTCTCTAACAACAATTGAAGCCTTTATTTATTTATTTTTTTAAAAAATCATGTATATTATGTTTTTTTTTCAAAAACTTTCATGTATATTACGTAGTTAAATTTTTTGGGCATCTTTCTTCTTTTTCCTCTTTTTTCAAATTTTTTTCATTTATTAACATACTTTGTTTTCAAAAAAAAAAAATCTTGTATATTACCTAGTTAACTTTTAAAATTTCTAGTTCAAATTTTCCTCTTTTCTTTTTCAAATATTTTCATGTATATTACGTATTTTTTTCAAAAAAAATCATGTAATACCTAGTTTAATTTTTAAAATTTCTAATGCACTCATTCAGCCAAAAGAAAAAAAATGTATTCGTGTATAATTTTTGGACACCCTTCATTAAATTTTTGGCTACGCCACTAATACACTTTATTGTTATTTAGTTGTTACGTTTGAGATAACTTATCTTGAATTAATATTTAGTAACTAACCCTGAAATTAATACTCCCTCCGTCCATAATTAATTGTCATGATTTTCTTTTTTAGAATCAAACTATAAGAACTTTGATCAATATTTTACGATATATTTTTTCATCATATTGATATGCAAAAAAATTGAAATTTATAGTACTTTTTGCATAGTTTTGAATATCTATTTTTTTAGAATTTTTTTTTAATTAATGTAATTTAATCTAACTTTAAAAATTGATCAAATTGACTTTCGAAAAGTGTAACATAACAAATAAAAGTGGACAGAGAAAGTAATTAGTACCACGATAAGTTATCTCTTCCTTTGATGTTATAATAATCTCAGGATAAAATAAATAAATGACAAAAGTGTTTCTTCAAACCTTTTTGTATACATTACTGATTACATTTATGAAAGGACATTTTTATAAGCAAATAAATTTCTCTTAAAATTTATTACTTTAAATACAAAAAATTTGAACAATCAACAAAAATAAAACTTATTACAACTTATTCTATATGCCATAATTAATAGGTTTAACCTATCGGTGACCTTTTAAAGTTGACACGAATTTTTATTTAAACACTCCAACTAAAGTTTCTTCATTTTGGACACCTCATGTCGTTTTGTTATGTTACTTTGACTCTATTTGCTTACATAACATTGTAAGTGTGATACACTTCTTACCAACGCGTGGAGAGCTTATATTTAACCTATTTTTATTTTATTCTTCTTCTTCCCCATTTTAGCCACCATTTTTCAAAACTTAAACTTCTTTCATGGAAAAATAGATTTAATAGTGCTATAATACCAAGAAATTTCAAGCTTAAATAAATTATCTTATTTTATTCTCATTCTTCCTCGAAATAAGGCTCATATATAACTTTTCCTATGGATATGATATCAACATGTGCATATATATACCTTTTAAAACACACTATTAAAGGTAAATAATCCTCCATAAAATTTGATATAACTGCAACAATTTTGACAAAAATAAAAGTATTTTTTCAGACTATTTTTCCTTATAAAAAATGTATCAAAATGATACACCAAAATATAACATGAATTATTTAAAAATAAACAAAATCTAATTAAATTATGATAAAAATTAATATCAATCTAAAAAAATTATCAATAAATTAGATCAATCTAATATTATTTTAACTTATCTCACCGTATAATAAATCACCGTATATTATTATAGATTGAAATTCAAACCAAACGACTCTTTCAATATTGCCTTATGGAACGAAAGTAATTGTTACTTTTCGAAATACAGCAGTAGGTGGGTTCCTTACACGTGATCAAAATACTCGAATGTACCTACCTACCCCGTAATTAATTCAACAAATCGCTAAATTACTTATTTACCCCTAAGCACGTTTACTACGCTTTCACGCCCGCTCAGCTTCTACTTCATAATCCGAAGAGAATAAATGATGATCCAGCAAAAGGTGATAGAGCCGTAGATAGCCATACTACTGACTGCCAAGTATTCCCAATTTCTCATTACGGTACTGCAGCAAAAGGTTTTTTGCTGGTAGATCAGTCGAAGATCTGCAATGGAGTCTTCACTACTGACATCACCGGCGGCAATTTCTCGTTTGGCAGCATCGAGAACTGTCAATTGCAATTGCAGTCCTCTAATTTCTCAGTTCCACCGCCATTTTTCTACTAGGTCAACTCAGTTTGTACTGATGAGTCAACTCGCTCGATTCCACCTTCGAGCTGTATGTAACGGTGAGGTTCGAGGTCTGAACCGGTTCGGGTCGGTTTCTCTGTCGGGAAGTTTGGCAGCGGCGAATTTGCGCCCGGTTCAGAAGGACTTGCGGAGTGTTTCTCGTTCCGCAGCTTCTTTTGCAGCTAGTGGTGGAGGAAATGATAACCCCAGAGGTAATGGCGGTGGCGGCGGTGGCAATGGAGATGGTGCGACGGACGGTGGTAAGGAAAATCCTAGTGTTGTTGCTGAAACGGGTGAAGATATATCTGCTTTGTCCTCTGATGTCATTATCCTAGATGTTACCGTAAGTTACTCAGTTTTATTTCACCAATTGCTCTATGGATAATATCTGTAGTTTCGGACCTTTGAATATTCCACAAATTTGTCTGCACATTTTTAGGGAATGACATGCGGTGGCTGTGCATCGAGTGTGAAGAGAATTTTAGAAAGTCAAGTAAGTATTCAATGGTACTTCCAACTCATGTTTTTCTCTTCAATGAAGCATCTCATGTTTACGCTGTAGGCCAAAATATAATATACCGCAGTAGACTCATTACAAGGTTTCTATTAGGAACTAACTGTATCAACATGATTATTAGCTGTCAGTGGCGAAGGGTAAAGCTAAATATACCGAAGTCTTACTTGGCCTGGATTGATTAATGTCTCCAACAGTGGGCGTATCAACATCAGTAGACTCAAAGGTTTAAATAAAATCAGTATGCATTTTTACAGAGGAGTGGTGGGTACTGTGGTTAGAAGTCTGAATAGGCCTCTGATTCGGATCACATGGAAACATTCCCAGACAGTTGGATCCTTAGTCGAAGACACGATTAGCTATCATAAGCCCAAAATATATTCTCTTCATGTGGAGATTATCTAGTAGTTTAGAGTGGAAAAGAAACTACCCTGAGAATTGTACAATTCTCTATGATTTTTTGGCTGTGCATAAATTACATAATTTACAGATTTGGGTTCATTCATATGTTTAACTAGCCTTTCTTCTGTTACTTGTATTCCTAGTGCACGTGCATTTTGTCTCTTTTATTTGTTAGTATTTTTTCACTTGACATTATGAAGTTCTGTATCAACAGCCACAAGTTTCTTCTGCTACTGTAAATCTTACGACGGAGACAGCAATAGTGTGGCCAGTATCTGACGCTAAGGTTGTACCAAATTGGCAAAAGCAGTTAGGGGAGGCTCTTGCAAAGCATTTGAGTACCTGTGGGTTCAAATCTAACGTTCGAGGTTAGCATTTGCTTCCAATAGTACCATTATTTTACACTAATGTATCATTAGCAATCAAAATAACAATTTTTTGAAAATCTCCAAATGTTGAATATGCTTGCACTGCTAGCAGTGAACTATAGGTGTAGAATGTCGGACAGGGTGCTATACGAAAGAAATAGATGGTTCATAGAAGATTCAGGAATTTCTACATCTTCAACAGTTGTGTGCTTGTTTAAGATTTTTCAAGACCAGTTGCAAATTCGCAATGTCTGTTTGGTGCCTAGTCTTTCTACCATCAAGGTTCCCCAGATATGTTAGTTTTGATTAGGTCACCAGACGGTTGATACAAGAATGTAACTTGATCCCCTGGCCTTATTTTTGTAGGGCAATTAAGAGCAGGCCATACATCCCTGTTTATTATTAGCTTAAGGTGAGCCATAGTTTCACACTATTGATTAAAAGGAAGGGAATAACCACTTGTGGGATCCCACTGGGTATCTTGTTGTTGATTAAAAGGAAGGGAATAAGCTATGAACTTAAAATACAACTGAAACCCATCCTCTGTCCTTCCTCTTCCTTTTTCTTCCGGGGTTGAATGATATTGCTTTTCGTCTTAAGAGTAGGAATTTAACTAATAGTATACTTATTTTGGTCCATTAGTACCTCTTAAATTTCAAGCAGATCTGAGAGTGCAATACACTTGGGGTATTTGTTACTTATGTGAAGCTTGGTGGGTAATTGACAGGTGAGGGAGCCATTGAAGGGGAATTTCCATCATGAAATGCAAAAGCTTTCTTGAAATGAGCAACCATTGTCCTTCATGGTATGTCCCTCTTATATTGACTAAAACCCTTCTCAGCAGCACCTCTTAGTCACTTCTCCCAGTATTTGATGAAATTAGAACATATTAGGTCAAAATGATTTTGATTTTGACAACAAGGTCCTTTTCATCTATAGGTGAGAGTTTCAGCAGCAAGAATTGGTGGATATGTTGAAG